GACCTCTCTGTGAACACCTTCTCCTGCTTCCTAAAAGTGAGAAATTGAAGTCAGGGGGTCTAAGAGACTTGCCCAAGGTCCTGATTAAGTTGATTAACTGAATCACAGAAGACTTCTCTTGTAATGCCAGAACCCTAAGGTTAGCAGACTATGGAAACAGACTTGAGTCTGGATTCCAGTTCTTCCACTAACAAATGGCTTAACTTGGTCTAGTTACTCAATCTTTCTAACAGTCAGTTTTTACACATGTAAAATGAGTGTCATGAAAGTGAAGGAAACACAGAAAGCATGTTTTTTTTTCATTAAGTTTACTGGTACATTTTAGGTATACCATATGATGATGTTCATCACTGGGAATTTGTACCTTTACATGATGTATCTTGGTTCTTAATTTTTCCCCTTTCCCCTGCCTTCACTTCAACCCCTTCATACCTTCCTATTTACAAAGACTTTGTTTCCATATTTTCCTTTTCTCATATTTATTCCTTTTCCTTTTCCCTACCCTCCTATTTCCCCTTCCCCTTTGGATCTTTTCTTCCTATTTCACATTATCTATTATACCTTTTCATCTTTAATAACCTTTGAGTTTCTCACACCATAGAAACTATTCAGTATTTACACATAAGTGTCCTGTTTACTCCTCGTAAGAGTATGGCCTCAATGCACATCCATTTAGCTATAAATGTCTCCCATTTCTCATTCTTTATGGTTGAGTAGTACTCCACTTTATATTTAAAAAACACACTTTCTTTATCCAGCCTCCAGTTGGCTGGCAATTGGGCTGTTTCCAAGTTTTAGCTGTTACAAACTGTGCTGCTATAAATATGGGTGTGCATGATTCTTTTAATTATTTTGGGAAGATATCCAGCAGGGAAATAGCTGGGTCAAATGGAACCGCTAATCCTAGTTCTTTTCCAAAGGTATCTCCATATTAATTTCCACAGTGGTTGCACCAGTCTGCACTCCCATCCACAATGGAGAAGGCTTCCTTTCTCCCCACAGCCCTTCCAGCATTTGTCATTGTTTGATTTCTTCATAGCAGCCATTCTTACTGGAGTGAAGTGGAATCTCAGTGTTTTTTTCACATGCTTCTCTCCAGTGACGTTGAACATTTTTTCATATATTTATTTGCTGCTTTTACTTCTTTGTCTGAGAAATGTCTTTTCTTTTCAGATGCCCAGTTTTGAATCAGGTCTTTAAATTTGTAGGGTCTGATTTTTCTAAGTTCTCTTTATATTAGTCTTTTGTCTGAGGAGTGGCTGGTAAAATTTTTTTTCTGACATTGTAGGCTGTCTCTTAGCTCTGTGGCTGGTTTCTCTTGCAGCGCAGAAGCTTTTTTATAAGATGAGATCCCACTTGCTGATTCTTTATGGTAGTTCCCGTGCTACTGAGGATTTGTTCATAGTCTTTTCCCATGCCAATGTCTTCAAAAGTTCTACCTAACCTACCTTCCAGCAAGTTTAGTTTTTCTATTTTAATATTTAGATCTTTGATACACTTTAATTTTAGTTTAGTAAATGGTGAAAGATAAGGGTCTAGTTTTAATCTTTGGCAAATTGAAATTCAGTTGTTCCAACACAATTTATTGAAGAGGCTATCTTTCCTCTAATGAGGATGTTTGGCCCTTTTGTCAAAGATTAGGTGGCTGAGTATGTCTGGAGTTGTTTCTGCATCTTCTAATCTATTCCACTGATCCTTGGGTCTGTTTCTTTGCAGTATCATTTTTTTTTTATCACAGTGGCTTTGTAGTATAGTTTCATGTTGAGGATTGTGATACCCCTTTCTTGTCTTTGGTGGTTTTTTTTTTAGTTTTTAGTGTTTGTTTGTTTGTTTTTTTTTTTTTTTTTGGTACCAGGGATTAGAACTCAGATCTTTGCGCTTGAAAGGCAAGCCACCAAACCACGGAGCTAAATCCCCGGCCCTCTTTCATGGCTTTGTTGCCTAGAATTTCCTTTACTATTCTAAGTCTCTTCTGGTTCCAAATGAATTTTTGGATTGTTTTCTCTAGTTCACAGAAAGCATTTACTAAGCATATTGCTGTAGTTGTCATCCACTGATGCAAGAAAAAGAGTCCCAAAGTACCCAGGGTTGGTTGGATCTTATCCCCAAACTCCAGTATAATCTGTCTTCCTTCTCACAAGTCCCACATCCTTTCATTAAAGTGACTTAGGTTTAGGTACGCTGTCTTGTTTCTCCCCAATAATTCTAGATCTGGTCTCCTTTTATTTAGTTTTTAAAAGTATTTAATACTCACAATATATGTGAGATATGAATAACAATAAAATGAACACTTAAGCCCATTATTCAGTGTAAGACATATGTGTTCCTTCAGGCTAATCTCATTCTCTGGTAACCAATCATGTAAGGTTCACATTTATTATTCACTTTATTGGTTTTATCAGATATGTGTGTATCCTAAATAACATGTTATTTAGCTGTACATGCCTTTAACATTAACATAAACAGAATCATGAGTGACCCTTTTTAGTTTGCTTTTATTGTTCAAATTATTTCTGTTATTTGTCTATCCTGATTCAATTGGAATTCACTCGTTTTCACAGTTGAATAGTACCCTACTGTGTGAATATCCCACAGTTAACTTACTAATTCTCCCTTCTAATGGACAATTAGGGTACTTCAAGAATTTTTTTTTCTATTTCAAACAGTGCTTCAATTAAATTTCACACTCATGACCTTAGTATACATGGTTAGAAATACTTGGCAAATCTCATATAAATGCTAGGTCATAGGTATGCATGCCATTGAATTTATTAGATAAAAAGATGTTTCAAAAGTGATTGCGCCTTATGCTTTTATTGTCCGTGTATAGGCATTTCAAGTTTTCTTTCAGATTGGATTTGTCCATTTGTTAATCTAATGATTAACTGATTTCCATGTCCACTGTTGCCTCTTAGAAAGGACCTGAATGCGTATCATGGTGTGTCACTCTGCATGCACTGAAGAGTTATGTGTGGTCTCATGCTGTTCACACACTGTCCTCTAAGACTGGGTGTCATCAATTTCCATCTTTGCATGACCTTCTTGGCAGGCCAGTTAGGGTTGCAGGTGCCTGTGGCAGGTCTCAAGCATGAGGCTCCCACACTGCACACACATGGGGCAAAATGTCCAGTCTGGAAAAGCAGACTCTCGTTTTTATCATGTCAAACAAAATACAGTAAAAAGAAGAAAGACAAGTGTCTGTAAAAAGAAAAAGCAGAAGTGTAACTCTACCCATGTCTTTTTCTCTGGGGAAATAAAAAGTTCCCAGCCCAGGTGTTAAACAGAGTTGTTTTTGGAGAGAAAAGTTAAGTGGCCAATGGGGTATACTTTACAATAGTTCTGAAGGAGCAAGCTATTATCATCCCATTCAGTGAAGCCTGACTTCTCTGATCTTTGATGGCATTATATGTGGCTTTATCATGTTGGCCTACTTGTTTCTTTCAGCTAAGAATTAGGAAAGAGGAGAGGTGGCAGTTGAGAGTTCTTTCAGGATACACTGCAAGAAAATTGAGCTGTTAGATTAGGGAAAATACATGACTAAGGGGGACAAGCACTTGCATTTTTCTCATGAAAGACTTTGCTGGCCAGGCCAAGTCAGTGGCTTGGTCTAGCAGAATGGCCCCACCCTTCCATACCTCTCAAGGTCCTGCTCCTCCACATCTTGTGGAACTGGAAATTCAGACACAGTGCATGAATGTCACGCCTAGAAGTACAGAACCTCTGTTCAAAACAGAGTCCGGGGGGAAGAAATCCATCTAAGGTTTTACCCCTACCACTGCTACTGCTACCTTTTCTTCTCTCTCCTTTTCTTCTTTTCCTCCTCCTCCATTTTACCTTTTTGTCTGCTCCTCTTTCCCACTTTCTCTTCAGCCAAACCTTGGGTCTGTGACGGGAGAGGTAACTAGGAGCCCTCTTTTTTGCCCCCTCTGTACATTTTTTGGGCCTAGGAGCAGAGTGGTAAATAAATTAAATATTTCCTGACAAATGTGGAAAATGTGCACTTTACTTCACAAAGGCCATCAGGGCATTCCTGCAGGCAGTGGAAATGTGTCTAGGTACAAAAGGAATTGTCGCCCTTGTTTTCTGTTTCTTTGACCCTAAACTGCCTTTTGTTCAACAAATGACAGGTAAATCAGTGGTTTTCAGACCAGCTGGAGGAAGTGGGAAGTCGTCCAGAAGGGAAGCAGAGCTCTCAGGATGGGTCCAGCTGCTGAAGGTGTGGTTCCCTCTACCCAACCTCACCTACTTGTCTGTGCTTGGGATGACCCTGTGTCCAGCATGTTACTGGGTATGATGACAAGACAAGAGGAAGTGAGCAGTAGACAAGGGCATGAGCAGTAGTCCAGGAAGGGAGTAGTACTCTGCTTTTAGGAGGACTTCCACTTAGTCTTGGAATGGTATTGTTGCAAAATTGTTAGATTTGCTCTTGTCTGCTGACTTTTGAGTACATCCTGATTTTGTTTGGAAGCATTATGCTCTCAGCAAGGTAATTCCTGATTCTGCCAGTGATAAGGAGGCCACAGAGCTTATGATGGAGATCATCTCTCCTTTCCCGAGTCACCTGTCTCAAATCCCTAAGTGAACTAGCATACAGAATTGTCCATCACATTGAAACAGAGCTTCAGGAAAAGAGACCTTCAGTGACTAAACTATTACTACTCTGTCCTGCTACCCTGAAATATGCTATAAAATTCCATTTTCAAATAATGGTTATATAAGTGGAAAAAGCTTATCCACAACTTTTACGCAAATACGCAGAAAGACTCCAACAGTCATTCAGGTGGAAATGATTATTCTGCTTTTCCCTGAGCCAAGGAAGTTTCAGATGACAGCTTAATACCTACTGAAAATGAGGACCGTGTTTGGAGCAAAGAGGAAGTAGTGACCATCCAGAAGCTTGTCCAAACCTGATTATAAAAAAAAGAAACTGGAAAGAAATTTGCATGCCTAATAGGTTTCACTATTAAAGTGTATACAGTGTGAAGCAATCGGCCAAGCTGGCTGGCTACCCAGATCACATGATTACGCAGCAACGTGAAACTCAATGATGTGCTCCAGCAAGTTTTACTTCTCCCCGGTGCAGGGGTGTTTGCTACGCCTGCATGCTCAGAAGTCAAACTCCCGCAACTGGAGTTCTAGAGACAAGAGGCTTACCATGCTGCTCCCTGGGAGAGCCAGGAGCCGCTGACATTACCACCGGACAGTGACTCGTGTCTGCTACGGAAAAGAATGGACAAGCTTAATAAGATAACTGTGCCAGCCAGTCAGAAGTTGAGGTAAGATTTTCCAGTCTGATATGGATCCTTCCTTTCTTTTTCCCCAGTGCTCTTAGGGCACCTCAGAAATATTGAAACCTGGAATACTTTGCTGATTCAAAGGCAGTGACATTTGTTATGGGGAAGTAGACTTGGGTTTTTAAAGAAATGTGTAGGAATAATTGGGCCAGCCCTGGATGGCTTTTGCCCGTGACAGAATGAAGTGTAAAGCTCTAGAGAGGTAATAAAATTGGAAAACCCAGGGCTCAGATTCTATCAAAGGTCAGCTTTCACAGACTAATTACCATAAACTCTGTTAAAGAATACTTTGTCTAAACTGAGTCTGCACCCATTTCAGTATAGATTACTACTGAATTTTAAGATAGCTGTAATCATTTGTATTCATTATACAGTAGTTTTATTCTTTTATTTATTTTGTGGGCATTTATCGCAAGTTCACTGGGAAACTCTATCACTCTTTTCAGTGTACTCAATATAGTTTGATAATTATTTAAGGAAAGAAACAACTTTAGAAGAATAAACCAGAAGTGGCCCAAGGACATGAGGCAAAGAACTAAGGAAAAGATAATTTCCCAAATTTTTATTTTGAAGAACTTCTTTTTGTCTCATTATAATGATCCCATTACTTTTGGAGATTGGAACTTTTAAATGTTCAGGGAGTGTCTTGTATTCTAATTTTGTATTGGAGCTTCAGTTTTTTATGTGGTTATGTGACACATGTAGCAGATGTGTTATCAAAAATAATTAGGAGCTGGAGGCTTTGGGGTTTTTGAGACAAGACTGAAGAGAAATTAGTTTGGAATTGATGGTCCTTCACTGTTAAATGTGGGTCTGGTCTTCTACCTAGTAAGGCTTTACAAGAGCAGTTTGAGATCCAGCTTCAGCTGGTCACCATTTCGAGAGTGCACTGCTAAGAGCCATGGAACCATCAGTATGACTGGAACAAGAAGGCATCACAGCTACCTTGGTCTCTGTTCATACGTACAAGTAGTAAGGGATATGTGAATATAGAAGGGAAGTGGAGGGCCAGGGATTTAGCTCAGTGGCATCATGCCTGCCTCCCAAGCGTGAGGTCGTGAGTTCAATCCCCGATTACCCCCCACCCCGACCCACAGAAAAAGAGAACTGGAGGAGCTATAGAAGGCTTCACAGAAAACAGGCTTCCGGAGCTGGGCTTTGGGGAAGCAGGTCACATAAAAGGAGTTGGATAACTGGAGGAAGAACTGGGAGGGAGGAAATGCAGAGCTGATAGGAACATGGTCCCTTAGTGGAATGGTGGGGAGTTTTCCACCCTGCAGAGGCTGTAAATAGCAAGCCATGTGAGACGGAAGGTCCTGATATGGTTGAATATATAAGGTGAGGCCCATCTGAAAACGACTCTAACCAGAGGAAGTTGGAGAGTGGACTGACACAAGTGCAGCTGTAAGGAAGGTGGGCGGGGTGTATCCTCCAGGCAGAGCAGCCTGGAGACAGAGATGGAGAGTGAGCATTTAAGCAAAAGCCACCATCTAGAGTTGTAGGCCTGAACCTGGAGCACAGCAGTGAGAAGCGAAAGTAGAGCAAGATATGGGAAAGAAATTAATAAGGTACAAATATCAAGGATTCTCTCTAATGAGGAAGAGGGTTCCAAAGGTCTTTTTTGACATACTCTACAATCTAAAGCCACTCTAAGCCTTACAGCCTCTTTCAGGAAACCCAGATGGAAATCTAAATAAAGAAAGGCAATAGAATTTAAATCATTTTATGATCCCTCCCTCTGGGACAAAGTCCAGCTTGATCACAGAGTGGTTGATAGGCAACACAAAACCATAGATTATAGGACAGAAAACCAAAATTATATTGTGGATAATCATATGCTGCACTCATCTGCTTAGAGAAAAGTCACTTTTTCTACTTGGTTACTAAGTTGTCTTTACAGAATTGGCCTATTTTTGTAAAATGTGCACTGTTGATGTGGAACTTTTCAAAGAAATGAAACTGTAACACAGCAAACTCTAAGCATCATCTAAATCTTTCCTGTAATTACATGAAATGATGAAGGATAGATGAAATGTGTGCCACCTATGACTTATGTCTTCTTAGGGGAGAGACGTATGTCTTCTCTGCTTGCCTAACTGTGCAATTATTTAGCACCAGATGATAGTATAAGTGGGCAATTGTGTTTATGCTTTTAGGCTTATCAAAGCTCATGTAAGAATTTGCTTACATTTTTAGCCAAAACATAGAGACAGCGAGTGTTCATTCAAGGGGTAAATGAAATGACCTTAATCCAGGACTGGAAGGAAGAAAGGGTTCTCAAAATGAAGGAGACAGATGGTCACTGGAGAGGTTGGATACTCACCTTGAGAGCTTAGAACTGAAATAGGAGGAGTGGCTAAGTTGCATGTGAACACAGAGATGTGTCGACATGATTCTTTTATTCCCACTGAGGCACTGTATGAAGTAGGTTTCTCTGTTAATAGGAGTTCATAGACTCTTAAGATCTTTTATTTGATTCTTAGCCATGATTTTCCCTTTTTTATAAGGTAGTGATATCACCAGAATGCCCACTGAGATCTGTGTTCTCAATTCTTTCACAGTAAAAGTTCTCACGTCGTAACAATGTCATACTTGTAGGTGAACACTTCAAAATGTATAATCCTGAATCACACTGGAACACATTCCTTTTGGTGAAACTAATTTGAAGGGAAATTTTACATCTTTAATAACCTCCCATTTGTCTCGTCATCTCTGCTTATATATCTCTCTGTATAGGACACACAAACACATGTCCACTTAATTTACAAGTAAAACAGGTCTTTGGTACAACTTTGGTCAAACCGGCCGGGTCTCCCCATCCCTGAGCTTATTGGTTAAAGGGTACGGTAATTTTCTACCAGACAGAACAAGGTTTTTGTAACTTCAGGCAAGTAAATTACTTCATCTCCCTGGCCCAGTTTCTTCAATTGTCAGGTAAAGATGATAATAACAATACCAATGTCAAATAAATAGTGTAAGGATTAAATAATTGTACCATGAAGCACTACAAACCTGGCACATAGTTAATTATTAGATTTTAAAAATTATAATTATTAATATCATTATCATTATTATTGTTACTTATTCTATAACTGTGCAATTTTGCAAACACAAATAGAGCACTTTACATTGATCCCTGGTAAATTTCTTTTTTTTCTTTTTGTTTTGACTTTTTTTTTTTTCCTTTTGCTTCTGACATCTGTGGGATTTAACTTTGCATGGATTATAGACACGGCAAACCATCCCTCCTAGTTTCTAAGTGGCTAATAAACTGTTGAACATAGTGGGTTCTGTTGTGAATGTCTGGATGCAAGGGTGCTCACCTTTATTTGAAAGATTCTAGGTATGCCTCCCCCGCCCCAGCTCTTAGACTTTTAATTGGAATTTCCACTTCTTTGACTTTGTAGTATTTTCAACTTTCTTTCACGAGCTCCCTCCCTAGTCCTTCCTGTTTGGGTCAGTAGTTCATTCTCTCTGCATCTCCACTTATAAGCACTCACACACAATGGGTAGTCTTACGCTTTCTCTCCTTTCTTCCACACTGTCCTGGATAGGTCCTCATCTCCGCTCTGTCCTCTGTTTGTCTAGTTCAAGTTCCTCATTTCGTAGAGGAAGCAAACAATTCCTAAAATCTCTTTCAGCTCCAATGCTACGAAATCCTTTAAGCACAGGAATCATGCTTGGTATGTTTTATTCTCTGAGGGTATCATCTTATCTCAGTACCTTCAGGAAATATTCCTTAATGTATACAGAAGGACGGTGCGAGTGGAGCCCAAAATGGCTGATTTCAGTTGCTAGAAACTAGCCATGGATTCTCAAACTTCCTAAGCCTTGACTGTGAAGGGAAACTAGATGTGCTTTTTTTTTTCTTTTTATTGAGTTTATTGGTACAATCTAGGTCTACAATACAGTTACATTCATTACTGGGATCCTGTACCTTTACATGATAGGTCTTGGTTCTCACTTTTTCCCTTGTCCCTGCCCTCCCTTCACCCACTCCTCCCCTGCCCATTTACAAACTCTTTATTTCCATTTTTTCATTTTCTTATATTTTTTCTTTTCCCTTATTTCCTTTCCCCTACCCTTCCCACTTTCCCTATACCTTTAGCCCTTTTCTTCCTATTTCGTAGTCTTAATTATCCCATTAAGATCTTGTGTACCATTCTAATTTTTCACACCAGAGAAACTATTCAATATTTACACATGTGTGACTTATTTACTTCACTTAGGAGTACATCCTCAATATGTATCCATTTTCCTATGAATAACTCTAATTTCTCATTCTTTATGGCTGAGTAGTATTCCATGTTATAGAAAAACCACATCTTCTTTATCCAGTTTAGATATGCTTTCTTTACTGGTTTATTAGGAAGATCAAGCAAGAAAACATGAGCTGAAGCACCCATAAGTGTACATGCCCTTGGTCAGTCCTACCAGTATATAAAAAGGAAACCCAGCGACCAGGACCTCTGCCACTGCTGTGAGTGGTCACTTGCTGTCTCTTTTCTTCCTCCCGCTATAATGGGTTCAATTTCCTTTAACTCAAGCATCCAGCAGAACAAGGAGCTGCAAAGAGGAGGTGCAGCATCTAAGGACAGAGACGAGGTAGTCCTCCCAGGGACTCTGGCACCTATTTCACACTGCTTACCTGGGGAGTGGGTACAGCTGAGAATCCACTTAGCTGGCCATGTGGCGCCATCACACTGATGGATGATAAATTCACAGCAGCCAGATGAGCCCTCCTCCTCCGTGTGGGCAAACTACATAGCAGCCACGTTATCAGAAATTTCCTGAGTGGGAGTGGACTTCAGAGTCCTCACCTAAGAAAATTCAAGACAATTCTTTCACCTATCTGTACACAGCTGTTCCTGGAAAACCATAAGCAGGAACTCATATGTCTGAGGTACTCTTTTTCTTTTTCTCTTTTCTTTTCTTTCTTCCTTCCTTTCTTCTTTTTTTTCTTTTACACTTGCCATCAATCT